GCACTAAGGGACAGACAGGTCAAGATACAATGATGGTGGGTGACAATTTCATCAGCAGGTGAACCATCCTTTACAACTGCTGCCAGCGATCATGGAAATGGAGAGTCCCTATATCACAGTTTTCTTCCACCTCCACTCCAAGTCTTCTCTCTGTTCTTCCTGTTCCCCAACTCTGCTCCTTCTAGTTTTGAAGTCTGAACAAAATGATTCCTCCCTGCATTTGAACCCGCTCACCAGCCAGACTTTGCTGGCTTCCACCTGCAGCTCCTGCCCTTCCTCCAGCTCCTTTGGTCTCCCCTTCTCCCTGTCTAGCCAAAGGATCTCCTCATCAACCCACACTGGCTCCCTGCTGGTTTTCCCAAACTGATGGGCACTGGATCTTCTTATAGCTCAAATGTCTCTTCCTCCATGAATAATGCTGCTTCCCTGTCAATCAGTCGGTGGAGTAAAAATCAAAATCCAACAACTTCAAACAGATCTCCAAAAATGTAATGAACAACTTGATGACCCCAGCTCCTGGGTCTTTTGAGAGCCTTTGAGAATAGGGAGTTGGATACTGCCCTTCCTGACCCCTGCCTCTCATCTTCCTGCTTTTACTAATAATTGCATCCTGGTTTATCAATGTCTTCTCTATGAGTCTTTAATAACAAACTAAAAAAAAATCTCTAATCAAACAATCAGTTGTTGTTTTTTTAAAACAAAATCCCAAATGTTCGATTTACCTAATGAAGACTTAGTAGCCAGACACTGTGGTGAAAACCTGCTAGCTCAGAGAGACAGAGAAAGCACCCAGCTGACCTTCCTATTCCACCAACACCCCAGAAGACAAAAGCTCCTTTTCCACATTGTCTTAAATACCCTTCAATTCAAAGACCCTCCTTTCTCTTTCCTAGGTCTTCTTATGTTCACTTCCTGTGAAGTGGTTGCCTGCTCCAGGGTCTCCCAAGTCTCTCTGGGTGTCCAGCCAAACTCAAAGAACGGATGCTTGCTCTGGAGACAATTCCTGGTGAATTCCTCCTCTGTTTTCTGCAATGTTAGTGGGCTTTTTTCTTCTCCAATCACACTGGGTTTTCTTCCAACCATGCTGAGTGCTGAAGGGCCCTGCTTGAGGGGCTCAGCTTAACATTACAAACTGCATTTTGCTTTCAGACTTTATTTTATGATTAATTTCCCCTCTGAATTAAATCCTCTACTGGAAAAAAAATCCAACTTGTTCCAGGAGCCATGTCACCCTGGTAACAATCACAATTCCTTAGGCAAATAGCTACTCCTAAAAACAAGCAATCATTTCTTAAGGGGAAATTACTTAGTGTCCAAACTAGATTGATTATGCTAGCAACCATTGTTCATACCAAGCTGAAATCATTACTAGCCAATAGAACTTCCCACATTCTTGATCCAGGTGCTCCCATCCCCCACCCAGGTGCTCCAATCCCCCACCTAGGTGCTCCCATCCCCCACCCAGCTCAGTGACTCAGTGCCAGCAGCCCTGTCATCACTAAAAGACATTTCCACCATTGCCATAATTATGATTTGAGTGCTCAATACTCCCTATAAAGCTGGCACCATCATGGCCTACTCTCTCTCTTTTCCAACTCCACTCAGAGGCAACCGTTTGCATATAACCCCCACCATTTTCAAGGCCTGTTTTTTTGGCATTCCTTGGTCCTCCTCTTTTGCCACAAAACCCTTTCAGTAGTAGAATACAATAAACAATATATGCCAGATGGTGGTAGAACACACCTTTACTTGGGAGGCAGAGGCAGGTGGATCTCTGTGAATTTGAGTCCAGCCTGTCTACAGAGTAAATTTCAGGACAGCCAAGGCTACATGGAGAAACAGTCTTGAAACCAACAAAAGAAAACAAAATGCAAAGAAAGCCAACTTCAGTGGGTGCAATGAACTCAGACTTCCTGAGCATGAAGGATACAGAGGAACTCAAAAGAGGCAGAAAAGACTGAGAAGGAAAAACTCTTACCTGGGCCAACATCCACCATCATGTGTACCCATTCCTCGGTGTTCAGGCTGTAGACACCTTTCTCCTTGTCTACCATCCATGAAATGGGAGTCCCTAAGAACACTGCACAGCAGAACTGCTCTACTTTGATTGCACAGAGATAACCATACAAACTTCCCTCTTGAAACACATCTATGACTCTGGTCTCATAAGACACCTTGTTCTTAGATGAACAAAAATGGAAAACTGGCAACTTGGATATTGCTTTATCTGCCACTGCTTTCAAAGAGTCACGGTCAATGTTGTCTTTTGGGCATCCCAGGACTGTCTTACTCTCATTATCCACTCCAATGAAAAGATAGCCTCCCTCGGTGTTTGCAAATGCGGAGATGTTCTCTGGAATTGTATTTTTTATATATTGTTGAACATGGTCGGTAGAGAATCTTTTAAACTCTATAAATGTGGATTCAGAAAAAAGCAACTGTTGGCCATGTTCAAGTTTCTCACTTTGAAAAATTTCAAAAGCAGGATTTGATTCAAGGCTGCTCTGACTCTTGGCTCTGGGAATTGTAGCAGGTGGAGCTCTGTCATCAGTAGGACTATATTTGACATACTTCTTCTTGTCCTTCAGAAAGTTAAATGCTTTCCTTGAATCCATGTCGACCACAGAAGTAAAAGATCTATAGCACAGGGAAGAGGCCAGGCTGCAAATTCGAGGGTTAGTGGAACCACCTTCAGGGCTGCACCTCCAAGATTTAACAAAAATGTAAAACTGGTCCTCTTGTTGCTTGGTCTCAAAGAAAGCCCCCAAATCAGAGGACCGAATAAGCTCTCTCAAAGACTGTTCCAAGTCCAGTCCTATCTCCACAGGATGCTCACTCTTGTTGGCCATTTGCATAGCAATCACTCCTCCTCCAGAGTTTAACAGAGCACAAGCAGCCTCTGTAATTCTTGTCTTCTCCAGCTTTCTCTTCTGTGAGTCCATTTTATTTCGATCTTTTTCTCCGAGAGTCACTTTTCCTGCATAGATGACCAAGTCTGGGTAAGACTGTTCCACCTCTAAGGAGGGATGTGTCTCCATGCTGACCCTACAGTCAAACAATCCAAACATTTGTTTTACTTTTACTAAAACAATTCACTCATCTACTTATTGAAACATATTCAATATGAGCCAAATATATTCTGTCAAAGCAATAAAATATCAAGTAAGATAAAAAATAGTCCTTTCTCTTTAGAAACTGTTTGGAGGGGGCAATGAAAGTAGAACTTATCATCACATGTGATATGGGCTGTGGAGAGCCAGTGCCGCGCCCTAAAGATGGCGCGTGCTGCCGCCTTGTTGGAGTGATAAATAACTCCATATTTAGGCATGGGGCTGTGCTATGAGTGGTGTGATCTAGTGGGACCTATGGTGATTGGCCTCGTGGCAGCCAGCCATTGGTGGAGGCTTTGATATAAGAGTCAGAGCCAAGGGAAGAGGGGGGGCCAGAAGAAGAAAGGAGAAGATTAGAATCCTGATTAAACTGCCTCGAGAAGGAACGAGAAGGAACCTGGTTGTCCTGCGTCTTCTTTCCGCTGGTCGTGGTCGGCGCAGCACAATGGGCTATAGGAGGGAAAACATATTAATGGGGTGTCTGAAGTAACTTGGCTACTAAACTGTACTTCAATAATGCTCTCAGGAGGAGATAATGTCACCTAGTTACCAGAATTGTCAAGGTGAAGCCATCAGCATTGAGGTACAGGACCAGGAGGAATCAGTAAATCCAAGGGCATGCCATGGAGTGAGATATCACAGCTTGGAACATATTTGTGATAAATTAAGGGATAAAGGAAGAATATACTGCAAGGAGATGTCAAACAGGATGTGAAAACCCAGAGGTGGGTGAAAAGCAAGAGGAACAAGGTGTCGGGGCATGGAGCTCAAGGCCGCCTGCTGAGATTCTCCAGGTACATAAGCTGCTGACAAGTGCTGCACACTAAGATTAAGAAGTCTTACTAAATGATTTAGTGAAATGTCAGGCAGTGGTGGTACATGCCTTTAATCCCAGCACTTGGGAGACAGAGGCAGGAGGATCTCTGAGTCTGGTATATATTCCAGGATAGTCAGAGGTACACAGAGAAACCCTGTCTCATGGCATGGTAGGGTGGTGATGGGAAGGGTGTTTAGTGAAATGACATAACTGGTGACTTTGAAAAGACCCCAGAAAGCTTTGGCTCATAGATGTCTAGTAAGCAAAACTCTATCAATTGTCGAAATGCATTGAGAAATGAAAACCAGGTAGAGAAAAAGCCAGTAGATAGACTTACTAAAGAGAGGCACAGAAAAATGAACACAAAGAAAGAGAAGTTGAAGGTTCTCTTTAAGATGGCAAGGTTCTCTTTAAGATGGGAACGTTAACAGTATTTACCATGGATGAGAGAGAGCCAGAGCAGAAGTGAGAACTTAAAGATGGAGCAGGAGGCTGAGGGACTAAAACAACAGAATCCTGAGCGTCAAGGTTTGGAAAGATGGTGGTCCAGGAGCTGGGAGAAGGAGAGGGTGAAGGAGAGGAGAAAGGCAAACAGAGGGCCTGATAGAGGTTAGGTCACTGTAGGAGGGAGAGTCTTCTAATGCACCCCCTTTCTCATGTGTGTGCCTGGAGGCCTTTCTCCTAGGAGATCCTACGTCCCATCAAGTTGACAAAAGTTGACAGTGAGTGTCATTACACCATGTCTTCATGCATCCAACATATACAATTCTATAAATTTGTAATATGTACTAATGACTTGAAAAACAATTTTCTAGCAAGGCATTACATTATGATAATATTTGCATAACAATTAAAGACAATTTCCCTGGAGAGAAAGAGGGCTCAGTGGTATATGAGTATTTTACTTGTATGTATGTCTGTACATCACCTGCCTAGTGCCTGGTCAGAAAAGGACATCAGATCCTCTGGGACTAAAGCAGAGAGTTGCTCACTGCCGTGTGAGTGCTGGGAACTGAACCTGGGTCTTCTGCAGGAACCAGAAGTGTTCTTAACGGCTGAGTCATCTCTCCAGATCTATATATAATTGAAGTTTTTAAGGGAGTAAAATCCTAAAAATGTCATATGACACAGAATAAAGCTGTACTAGAGGATGTCTGCCAACATTAAACGATTGTAGGGGCTTGTGGGACAACTGGTCTATAGTAATGACACCATTCCGTGAGAACTGCAGGAAGGTGAGCTTGTCTCCCTTACACAACCATATAAACAGTCGGTGAAAGATTAGGTCTCTGATGAATGTGTGTGGAAAGTAAGAGTGGAA